GCCATCTTTTTGGTTCTGGTCTCCATTTGAATTGAAATCATACTCATCTATGCCTGATGGTTGCATTCACATTTGTGTCCCTCCTGGGCTGCTAGCCCAGGGACCAGGTCTCCCCAGTGCTTGCCCAGGGCTTGGCACCTGGTGGCTCTCAACAGTGTTGTAAGGAACAGATGGCAATGTTGCCTCTTTCCTATGGTTCTATTGGTGATGTACTGACACACTAGTACAACAGAAAATGGCCTTAGTAAATAGCACATTAGTAAAGGCACCCAGCATGCACCTGGCCCTTAGCTTCTCAGAGCAACATGTTGGGCTGACTTGATTGTTCTTACACTACAGATGAGAAAACAGAGGCTCGGGGTAAGGAAATTACCCAGGAGCACACTGCAGCTAGACTCAAATCCACAACTGGCTGAATAAGAAAAGGAGGGAAGGAAGGAAGGAAGGAAGGAAGGAAGGAAGGAAGGACAAGAGGAAAAACCTAACCCAGGGTTTCTTCCATTTCTGCCTGGCTCTCTTATCCCTTTGACTTCTGAATTTCAGAAACCTTTACACCAAGGCACAGTTCAGTTTGCAGATAGTCTACAGAAGATAAGCAGTCTGGAAACCCAGTCTTACATCCCGGTGATGCCAAAGCTTAGGTCATCCTTTCTTCTGTACAGTCTTAGCCATTTCTTTCGTGTGTTTTAGTGATTCTATATTATTATTATTATTTTCTGTGGTGCTGGGGATTGAGCCCAGGGCCTTTTTATGCTAGGCAAGTGCTCTGCCATTCAGCTGTGTTCCAGGCCCTTTAGAGTTTTTTGTTTTTGTTTTAAACAGAAGTCATTGCTCCCACCCTCACATATCTATAATGGTGTGTGTGTGTGTGTGTGTGTGTGTGTGTGCACATGTGTATTTCCCATGGATTTGTTGTTGTTTATATGTCATATTTCAACTTGAACAAAAGGTCCAAGAGGTCACTTCTGACATTGTACAGTGTCTATCATAGTCTGCGTCTAGCACAGTGCTTTGGTATGAAGTGAAGCAAGAAGAACCAGGTCACTGGGGCTGGGCACTTTAGAGCAGCCCCTCTTTGATTTGCCCTTTGCCTCTCTCTTCCCAGTTGGAGAAATTCCAGTCTAAGAGAGGCTGGCCAGCCAGATGGATTGCTTCACCCTAATCAGGAATTTCAGCTGTTGATTTCCCAGCCATGGTACAAAACACAGGAACCCCTTGTGTTCATTGTGACCCACTTCCTTTCTTACTGGGCCTGCTCTGGGTGGAGGCTTAGGGCTCACTGGCTTCTCTTGTTTTCACAAAAGGAAAATAATCTCCCTGTCATCATCCTGGCTTGACCAATAGGCTTTCCTGGCAGCAAGTCCCAAGGGAAGAAAATGGAGCACTGATCGTCTTAGAGTGAGATTCAAAGATAACCTAGGAGAGCCGGCGGACTAGGATGGGAAAGCACTGGTTACGATTAGAACGCTATTTAAATGAGAGGGGTTGACGGGGATTCATGCTGGCCCAAAGGCCTGCGCCCTATCTGGGGTCTGGCCTAGGATGTACCGTACAAGGCAACTTGACATTTCGTTTTTATGGTTTCTGAGTTTTGTCTTCTGATAGACAGGCAGCAATGAGTGTCTGTGAGGAAGAGTGTCTGACAAGGAAGAGCTTGTCACCATGGGGCATGTGACAAGTATAGAACTGGAGTAGAGGATGTTGCTAGTCCAAACGGGATGACTTGATCATTGCGTAGAAAAGTACTGGGCCATTGGGTGTGGTGACTCACGCCTGTAATCCTAGCTACTCAGGTGGCTGAGGTCTGAGAAGTGTGGTTTGAAGCCACCCATGCAGGAAAGTCTGTGAGAGTCTTATCTCCAATAAACTACTCAGACAAATCTGGAAGTGGTGCTGTGGATCATTGGCAGCACGCTAACCTTGAGCAAAAAAGCTCAGGGACAGTGCTCAGGCCCTGAGTTCAAGCCTCATGACCAACAAACAAACACAAAGCATAGTGCTTAGGGCTCTGATGACACTGGATCAAATACAAATGAAGTACTGTCCTTAAGCCAAGAGCTCGGGCAATTCCTAGATGAGTAAAGAGAAGGTGAGGTTAGGTTGAGCAAGGAGTGGGAAAGAGGAAGCCAGAAAGTCTTTACTATCTTATGCCGAAGAGAAGAAACCCAAAGCAGCTCTGAGTACCTGCACCTTGGCCAATGCCAGCAACAGGCAGTCAGGTGGCTGTGCAGAAGAGTACAGCAAGCCAGCTGGGAGAGCCTCCAGCCCCCACAGCACTCCATGGTACCCCCCAACTCTACTCTCAGTTTGATCTGCCCAGCTCTATGGAAAGAGCAGCAGGGGGATTCAGCTCTGATGAATCACGTCTCAGAATCAGAGCTTTCCTGCACTTTGTAGTGAGTTAAGACAGGGAATGATTGCCTTTCTTTTAAAAATTATTCTCTCATCATTCACTCATTCATTTACTTACTTTGTGATGTTGAGGATGGAACTAAAGGCTTCATGTACGCTAGGCGAGTGTTCTATCACTGAGCTATTCCCCAACCCCTTTTTCTAAGTCAAACTGATATTGGAAAGTAGAGGCAGAAGGAGATTAAAAAAAAAAAAATTAGGAGATTCAGTGATGGCTCATGCCTGTAGCCTTAGCTACTCAGGAAGCTGAGATCTGAGGGTCGTATTTTGAAGCCAGCCCAGCCAGGAAAGTTCACCAGACTCCTATCTCCAATTAATGAGCAAAAAGCCGGAAGTACAGGTGTGTCTCAGGCACTCCAGCCTTTAGGTAAAAAAGCTAGAGATCAAGCAGTGACTCACACCTGCAATCCTAGCTACTTAGGAGGCTGAGATCTGAGGATTATGATTCAAAGCCAGCCAGGGCAAGAAAGTCTGAGAGACTCTTATGTCCAATAAACCACAAAATGCTGGACGTAGAACTGTGGTTCAAGCAGTAGACCCTGAGTTCAAACCTCAATACTGTCATACATGCATGTGCGCATGTGCATGGGCATGTGCACACGCACACACAGACACAGACACACACAGGTTCAGGAGCCTGGGATGAGGCACTAACTTGTGCCCCTGCTTTCTCTAAAAAAAAAAAAAAAAAAAAGCATTCACTGCATCAGTCTAGCGCAGGGCCGTCGAACATGGCAGCTTGATAGACATTTATGCTTTCATCTTTTCAGCCTTCTGTCTAGCAGCCAAAGAGATCTTTCTAGTCTCGTGATGTAGTTTGAAAATGTTTTGAGTGCTATGTTCACTCCTGGAAAGTACAGGGGTGAGCAGGGAGGAAAGGCCCACGCTTACACAGCCTGGATGGTACAGGAATGTTCTCCAGCATCGTTGGGGGTGGGGTGCCTTTACTGCAATTTATGGAAGAAATGAGGACTCAGACAGCCCAGATGCCTGGCCCAGAATTATGCCACAAGCAGACGGTGAGCTGAGACTGGTCTCCCCGGTGGCTAGGTTCTCAGCGTCTGAGTACACAGCCTGGGCCACTTGGACAGTACTCCCCCCCCCCCCCCCCCCCCCCGCAGTAACTCACACTGTCATTCAACCAGAGCGCCAGAGCACCTGTCCCCCAGGGCCTCAGAGTGCCCATTGCACCTATTTCTAAAGAGGCGACACAATGCACAACCTTCCACCTTTCAACGCCTCCAACCCCTGGCTCTGTATGGAGCTGGCCAGACGCCGAGGGGGCTGGGAGGGGGGAGCAGGGGGGGGGCAGAGCTCCCTAAAGGAGGACAGATGGGCAAGCTGACCTCGGCACCCAGCCAAGCTTCCAGCAAACTTTTTTGTTTGGCAGCCAAACATCCAGCTTTAGTCCCCCCCCCCCCCATCACCTCTTGGGCTGCCACTGCTCCTCCCCCACTCCCCCCTCCCTCCTGGGCTGGCTCTGGGGAGCCTGTGGGCTCTGCAGGGGTGGGGCCCTTCCTCCTTTATGGCTGGGAGAAGGGATGAAAGGTCTGCAACTGGTGTGGGGTAACTGTTGCCATCTGTCTGGTGGGACGTCACCAGGGAGGGTCTCACCCATTCACTCCTTCACGCACCGCTGGACTCCAGCCTTTTGTTGGGGGGCTGGGGTGGGGGCTGCTGTGGGCAGCAGTGGGAGGGGGGCCTGTGGGGGGGGGGGAGAAGGAGCAGATCCTTTGTATTCAGGCCAAACTTTCACCAGGGTCATTTGCATGAAGAGGCTGGGGGGGCACGACTCCCACGTGATTGACATCTCCCCATCCCCTGTCACAGAGCCCTGTCCCACGTCCTTAGCCCAACACCTCCCCAAGGTTACCGAGAGAGAGGCCCAGACCTGCTGGCCACGCCTTCAGCCTCCACCTTCCATCCTTTCTTATTCCTTTTGCTAGGTAGACTGTGTCCTCCTCCATCTCAGCCCCTGTCTTGGAGTTGCTGGTATCCTTCCTTCCTGGGTGCCTTACAACAACTCCTCCTTTCTTCTTTCTCCTTCTTCTTCTTCTTCTTCTTCTTCTTCTTCTTCTTCTTCTTCTTCTTCTTCTTCTTCTTCTTCTTCCTCCCTCCCTCCCTCTCTCTCTCTCTCTCTCTCTCTCTCTTCTTTTTCTTTTTCTTTTTTTCTTCCTGCTTACTAGGCTGGGAAGGCGGAGGGGCCAAAGCAGGAGAAGGCCTATTAGCCTTCGCCCCCGGCAGCTGAGCCAGGGAAGAAAGGAACTGAATAGAGACAGTTGGGTTGGCAGCCCTCCAGCCCAGCTCCTGCGTTTTGAATAGCACCCCATGCCAGGGCTGCGGCTGGGTGTGGGGGAGGCTTAGGGGCATTTAATTATTTAAAGGTCTCAATAAAAGGAGCTTAGTCTCTGGGGGAGGAGGAGGACGGGCAGATGGTGTACCCCAGGAGCTGAAAAACTGATGCAGGCTGGGGATGGGAAGGGGGAGGTGGGGGGGGGAGGAAAGAGGAAGAGGGAGAGGGAAGTGAAATCTGGACTGGTCTCTAGAAGTAACCTGAGACCTTAGGTTCTCAGCTTCTTTTTCCTATACCCCTGCCTGCCTCTCCCCAACTTCTGAGTTGGTGTCTGCTCTGTTTTGGAAATAGACCAAAAGTTGTGAAGTATGGTGTGTGTGTGTGTGTGTGTGTGTGTGTGTGTGTGTGTGTGTGTGTGTGTGTGTGTGTGTGAATACTTCACCTTTCTTCTGTTATTTAGGGATGCTCAAGTGACCAGACTGGACAGATAGAAAGGTAATTTTTTTGCTGGGGGGGAGGGACGCTGGTCCTAGGGCTTGAACTCAGAGCTGAGCACTGTCTTTGAGCCTCTTTGTGCTCAAGGCTAGTGCTCTCTACCACTTGAGCCACAGTATCACTTCCAGCTTTTTCTGAGTAGTTTATTGAAGATAAGAGTCTCACAGATTTTTCTGTCCGGGCTGGCTTTCAACTGCAATCCTCAGATCTCAGCCTCCTGAATAGCTAGGATTACAGGTGTGAGCCATGATGCCTGGCAGATGGAAAGTTGTTTTTTTAAGCTGTCTTCAATATATACATTTGTGGGAACTTAATATGAAAACCACCATTTTATTTGGTTTCATATATATAGATATTTAATTTATGTATTTATTTTGCAGTGCTGGAGATTGAACCCAGGGCCTTGTGCATGCATACTAGGCAAGCATTCTACCACTGATCTACCCACTCCCGAGCCTGGCATAGGGTAAGGTCGAACAGTCAGTCTGTTGGAAGTCTAGAGAAGGCAGAGCATGGCATAGCAAGCCTTTCTTCAAAGGGCAACTTGTTCTTGACAAGACTGTAGGACGGGCTCCATCTTGAAGAACAGGACTGGGACGGTGTTCGATGGTCAAGCTAAATGGCCAGGAGGCTTGCAGTTTGTATCTCTTGCTTGCTGGGGCCTATTTTCACTCTTTGCCCCTTCAAGTCTGCCCACCGGGTCACTTGGTCACCAAAGGGACACTGCCAGTTAGTGATAACATCTTTGCAGCCTCCATGTGAGGCTGTCTGCACCATCGCCCCGTGGCAGCTCTCTCCCGGAGTGCGGGAGAGGGTGGCGTGGCCACTGCCGTGTCGGGGACAGCTATAGTCCCGGCTGCTTGCAATCGGAGCTGCCAGGGAGAGGGGCGGGAGAGGGGGCCGGTGGGGCGGTGTGGGCCGGCAGATGTCTGGCTCCCTCCCTTACCAGGATGTGGGCTGAGCCCCGGGCCACCCACCCACCTACAACTCTCAGTCCCCGCCCCCCCCCAAGCAGCTGGCTGGGATTTAATGCCTCCAACCCCGCTTGCAAATCTGCTTTCCTCGCTCAGCAACCACACCGGCGCCTGGGCTCCACCCTGTCTGGGGGGCGGGGGAAAGCCACACCTTGGCAACAAGCTTTTGATTGGCTGGCCCCGGAGAGAGCTGGCCAATCACAGATTTCCTGGAGGGGCGGCGTTTGGCCCAGAACTGGGCAGCCAGGGAAGCCGGGGATGGGGTGGGGGCCCGGGGTGGCTCACCAGGGTGCCTTTCTGCAGGACGGGGAGGTGGGGTTGGGGGTGACGGGGAGCAGCTGCAGCAGCGGATCCCTGCCCTCCATCTGCTGCCCGGGATCCCAAGTCCCTAAGGCTTCAGACGTCCCCCGCTTCCCAGGCTTTCTCCCCAGATGGAGCCCAGCCCTTTCTGGAGCAATCTGGAGGTTCTGGGTTCTTGGCCTTGTAGCTACTCGTTCCAGTCCTCCTTCTAAGACCCTCTGGATTGGGGGCATTTCTCTCCCCAGGTTCTCTCCTTCGCCCCGCTTCCTTTTTTTCTGCACTCCGGCGTGTTGGCGCCCTCCTAGGGCAGCCATTCCTCCAGCTCTGGTCTCATCCCGTCGTTTTCCATCGGCCTCATTATGGGCACCAACCTCTGCCCTCCAAAGGAGAACACAGATTGTGAACTTCGTAGAAGAAGGTGCCCTGTGTAACGTTGTCCTCTGATCTTCTTGCACCTAGATAGGCTCAGAATTCAGCATAAGCCTGGAGAGGTACCAGGATTGGCCAGCAGTCTCTGTCACTTACTACTGCTGTTACCTTGGGCAGTTAACTTCGCTGAGCCTTGGGTTTTGTTTGTTTTTCCTATAAACATATGAGTGATAAATAATATCTCTGTGCGAGAGAGAGTCGATCACTGGATCACTTGGCTGCCCAGCATGGAGGAACATTGGAGGACCCGTCAACAGATCACCACTCAAAATCTCAAGTATGGCTTCTTTCCACAGTGAAGTTGAAAGACTGGAATTCGAAGACCATCTGTATAAAAACACTTGGACCTCAGAGAAGTTACTGAAAAAGGAGGGCCAGGTGCGGTGGCTCACCCCCTCCTAGCTACTCAGGTGACTGAGATCTGAGAATCTCAGTTCCAGCCTGGGCAAGGAAGTCTGTGAGACTCTTATCTACAATTAACTACCAGAAAACCATAAGTGGATCTGTGTGGCTCAAAGTGGTAGAGCACTAGCCTTGAGTGAAATCGCTCAGTAACAGTGCTCAGGCCCTGAGTTCAAGTCCCATGGTTGACAAGAAGAAGGAAAAGGAGAAAAGGAGGAGGAAGAACAATGTGTTAGTATGTGTTAAATCTGTAGGGCAAAAACATGCCTCTTGTTATAGTTCTTTCTGCACTTCATTGTAGGCTTGAACTAGCTCTTAATAATAGGAATAATAATAATGGGAAGATGTGGGGTGTTTTCTGTCTATGCACACCCGTCAGGAGGTCCCCCTCTTTCTCAGGCAATATCTGTGGATCATTGTCTTGCTGGGGTGTTACCCACCTGGACAGCCTGCGGCAGTGGGGCCTGGGCTTGAGCACTTGGTTCAAATAACATCCCAAGGCCCTGGGAACATCCATCTGGCATCCTCTATGAAGCCTCTCCATCTGCCTTACTTAGCAAAGTCCCTGTGAGATGGAGTTGTTGGTTGAACAGTATCTCCTCAAACCCATAGCTCTACTTCCAGCTTTTATGCTGGTTAATTGGAGGTAAAAGTCTCTCAGTTTTGAACTTCAGATCTGTTCTTCTTGAGTAGCTAGGATGACAGGTGTAGTGTAAGCCCCCCCCCCCAAGTATGATCTTATTTGTAAACAGGATCTTTGTAAACGTAATTATCCAGGCTCAAGATGAGATCATAACAAATGAGGGAGGGGCTTAAATCCAATGAGTAACGTGCTTGTGAGAAGTGATTACCCAGGAAGACAAAGCGAAGGTGGCCACGTGAAGATGGGGGCAGAGATTAGAGTGATGCTCCTTCTAGCCAAGAACACCAGGAGACGCGAGGAGGCAGCAAGGCTTCTTCCTAGAGCCTTCAGAGACAAGCATGGCTCGGCCAGCACCTTGAGTTTTGGGCCTAAGCCTCCAGGGCAAGGCAGAGCCTCAGCTTTGAAAATTGTTCTTAGCCCCCTGGTCTGTGGGTATTTTGTGAGGAACCTCTCTGTCTTAGAACACTCACACATTATTCTGCAGATTTGAAACGTGTTTCAAAGCAGCGCCAGCTTTCACAATAAAGTATTTGTGGATCAAGAGGAGGCTGGCATTTGTGTGACGTCTGTCCTCATGTTTACACAGACACTCTACCCCTCCTCTGGGCTTTCTCTCACCCAGCTCCACAGCTGTCATGGTGGCTGGTGGACGGACAAATAAACCTCCTCAACCCCCGCCCCCCTCGTGCACATTTCCTGAAAATCTGCCATTTGGTTGGGTTCTCAGCATCTGGGTCCTTCATTTATGATGGGGCCTGCCCAGCACCTGAGTGACAGCCCGAAGCCTGCTGTGGAGAGAGTCAGATGCTCATTCCCCATCTCGCTTGCTGGCCGGCCATAGACACATGGCTTGCTTCTGCCTGCTGGACCTGGAATTGGAAGTCTGCAAAGCAAGCGTAAGGGGCAACCTGAAAGATCCCTTTGCTGAGTCCCATGAATTAGCTGAAAGTCCCTCACCCCGAGTCCATGCCTTTTGATCTGAGCTATTCTCTGCTGCAGGCCCTCGGCGATCACCTTGTTACCAGGAGGAAAGAGAAGGTTCAGTGGCGGCCATCTTGTGTGGAAGGCCAACGGCCCCTCAGACAAGCAGTGTCTTCTTTATAACAACTTCTCCAGAACTCCTCCAGAGACAAAAACCAAGCTCATGGGCAACCAGGCCTCATACCTGAGACCCGGGACTGTTTTAGCTCTGCAAACCCTTCCCACGCCCTGTCCTCAAATCCTATTTAATCTGAGCCAATGTCTGAAGATGGCTGGCTGAAGATGTACTGAAGTGCTGTCTTCCTATGGCTGCCATGTCATAAATCTCCCTTCTCTGTCTGTGCGTTCCCAGGTCTCTTTTATTTGCCATGGCGGGGGGTGGGAAGGTAAGAGGGGAGGGGGCAGTGGCTGGACCTAACCTGAGATTCCTGGACTTTGGGCCAAGTCTAAAAACCTAGTTTCACAAGGCCTTGCAGACCGTCCTGGTGTGCTATGTGCTTCTCAAGGATCACCTCTGTGCTCTGCTGCATTGGGTTCTCGTGGGGTTCTTGTGGCTCAACCTTGGCATTGTTTCTGCCCACATGCCCTTCCAACTGAGATTTTGTGAGCGCCCCTCTTTCAAGAAACAATTAACAAACACATGAATTTGCTTTCTGCATAAATCAGCTAACTTCGTTCTCTGTGTGGAGCACCCTGAGCCCTGGGTCTGACACTCGACTCCTCCCGCCATCTAGTGGTCTTACTGGAAAACGGTCCTCGCTGATGGTTCGTCTCAGACTTGTCAGGGCACAAATGTCAGAAAATACTGCTTTATAATCCCATAAAGATATAGGTGTATTTTGAAATGTGTCATATTTTTTTGGCTCAGAAACATGCTCAGTGAGATGTTTGCATTGCTTTCTTTTTTGTGGAGCTGCTGGGACTTGAACTCAGGGTCTTATACTCTGTCTTGTTTTTGTTTTTTGTTTTTTCTCTTTGCTCATGGCTCTCTACCCTTTGAGCCACACCTCCAGTTCTAGCTTTTTGCTGGTTAATTGAAGAGTCTCTCAGATTTGTCTGCCCCAGCTGGCTTTGAACCACAGACTTCAGATCTCAGCCTCCTTTTCTAGGATTGCAGGTGTGAGCCACTGGTCCCTGGCTCATTATACTTTTCATGTGCCTCTTTGTCTGGGAGTCTCCACCTGGGAGGATGGACCAGGAAATAGCACCTAACTAAAAGTCCTCAGGGCTGTGCAGGGCCCTTTCCCATGAGACCATAACGATACCCCTCTGAGCCGGCTGCTGGGCCCCTCACCTACGGCCTACATAGATCTGGTGTGATGTGGAGCCTGGGTTTCTGGCTCCTGCGATAGCTCCCTGTGCAGCCTGCCATAGTTGGCTCTTCTTGCTGTTTCTGGAACTGCTTCCAAGTCTGGCGCTCATGGTAAGATTCTGTTATTGTCCCAGCCTGTCTTCAGAGTCCAATTTTGCCAAGACCTCAGGCTCCACACAGTATCTGTTCAGGGCCCTGCCTGCATGGAGGGTTAAAAGCAAGGGAAGAACGCCAGGGCAAGCCAGGTGGTTGTTTTTCTGCATCTGGTAGATTTTAAAGAAGGTTTAAGACTCAACTTACCCTCAGCTTTCCACGATCGTGTGTGTGTGTGTGTGTGTGTGTGTGTGTGTGTGTGTGTGTGTAGGTGGGTCTTGTGGTGTCTCTGACCCACTTCCTGTTATTATTTCCTAAACTGGGTCAGGTGTAATTCTGTTCTTTTTACCCCGAGTGCATCTGGCGCAGGAACCTTGGTGGGGAGCACGCACTCCTCTCGGTGTTTACAGTTCCTCGGGCCCCGCGTGGCCGGGTGTGGTCCCGCCAGGCTGCTGAGTTCTTTTGTCCATCCTAACCTGTCTGCACTAGTTTCTCCTTTCTTCCAGCTTCCCGGGACAGACACTCCAGCGAGGCCTTCCTTCCATCTATTGTGTCCATCTTTCTGGTTCCTGGTATAGGCTTTGTCCCAGGGGCATGGACTAGTTTTCTAGAATGACTGCTGCTCTGGACCTGGGGCCTGCCACGGGGCAGAGTAAGGTGTTCGTTCCCGGGGGAGGCCGGGTCCCTCAGAGGCTCAGCTGTTGGTGGGAGCCGTGTCCCCCAGCTCCCCAGCTTCGTGTCGGTTGGGGAAAGAGGTTCAGAGTGTGG